GCAGATTTCTCTCCTGATTCAGACCAGACCACTTTTTCACTGGAGGAAGCGTTATTATGGATTTTGTCCTGAAGCAGAGGTTTGTCTTAATGCTGGATTTGTTTCAGCTTTTGTCTTCTCCAGATGTTAACTGATGGACTGGAGTGCTGTGGATTACTTGTGGATTATTGTGATGTTTTTATCAGCTGTTTGGACTCTCATTCTGACGGCACCCATTCACTGCAGAGCATCCATTGCTGAGACACTAATGCAATGCTACATTTCTACAAATCTGATGAAGAAACAAATTCATCCTCATCTTGGATGGCCTGAGGGTGAGCACATTTTCAGTGAATGTTCATTTTTGGCCGAACTATTCCTTTAAACATCAAATTTGGTTATAATTCTTCTGATTTCAGTGAAAGCACAATGCGAAACATCTTCATATTTTGTGTGTGCATTAGGCAGTGCTGTGTCGTTTGGAGCAGGCTGAGGATTCTGGGAAGAGGAAGTGTGTGACTCTGGCTCTCAGTAAGGAGCACAACCCCACCATATATGAGGAGCGCATGAGGATTCAGAGAGCGGGTGGCTCGGTCAGGTGTGTGTGTGGTCGTGTGCTGGGAGTGCTGGAAGTGTCTCGTTCCATCGGTGATGGTCAGTATAAACGCTGTGGTGTGATTTCCACTCCGGACGTGCGGCGCTGTCAACTCAGTCCAAATGACAAGTGGGTTTAACACACAAACAGAAATTAGAAATTTTCCTAGAAATTATTCTGACTATTATGTGGTTTCAAAGCTTGGTTTAAAGGATTTAGTGTTGTTGTGTGTTGTTAGGTTTGTTCTCTTGGCGTGCGATGGGCTTTTTAAAGTGTTTTCTGCGGACGAGGCCGTTCAGTTCGTCCTCAACATTCTAGAGGTGCATATTTTAATGCACTTGTACTTGTCTTTGCTGTGTGTGTTAATATTTCTGCTTGCCAGGATTATTAAAGTTAATGTAAAAAAAAAAAAGTTACTTAAAAAAATAAACGTTAAATGAAATCAAATAAAATATAAAAATTTTATTTTATTAGTATGATAGATAATATTTGCATTTACTATAACTTGAGGTACTAAAATAAAAAATAAAACAAATGAAATTTAATAAAACTGCATAGACAATCATAAAAAAATCAATAAAAATGTCAGAAACACAACAATATTACTAAAACGAACTAAAATTCAAATGAAAGCCAAAAATATGAATAATTTTTTTTTTAATTCAAAATATTAATAAAAACTATAATAGTATCTTGATACTAAAATGCTTTGTGTGTTGTATGTTAAAATGGTTTTGTTTTTTAGAATGAGACTGTGGAGCAGAAAGAGGGGCAGAGTGAGGGGGCGGGGCGATTTGAGGCCACTTGTCAGCGATTGGCCAGTGAGGCAGTGAGGCGGGGCAGTGCAGACAACGTCACTGTCATTCTCGTCTCTATTGAGTTCTGAAATCATTACACACTAACACACACACACTCACACACACACACACACACACACACATTCACACACACACTCACTCACTCACTCTCTCACAC